AAGTTGAGAATCCATCGAGCGTGCAAATCGAAGATTTACCGCCATTGCATACTGCTACGCTATGGCCATAACAAGCAGTGACAACTTTGCTAGATTGCATTGAATAGGGACCAAATATTTTGACTATGTACGATTTTCAATATCCTTAAAGGTTGAAGCAAGCAATATGATGACATAATCGTTTGATAAAAAACAATTTTTTGCAGTGAAAACTGATGCTCCAGTTTTTAAGCGATTTCACTGGTTGACTTTAACGTGTGTGAACAGCAAAGGCAACGTTTTATAACGTTAAATCGTTGGATCGCGGTCTGCTCGCTCCCTTCGAACGTCTACAGTATTTTTTACCTTTATTGCCTTGTCATGTTTGTGTGTAGTGGTTTTTGTAATGCGGAGTCATTTTCGAAACCATAGCAGGATCATGGCAGGTAGAGGAATATAGCAGGATCATGGCTATCACGCCGCTCCGATGTTGTTCTCGAACAACCAAAAAGCTTGTAGCAAAGTTCATGTGCTGTCGAAAGCGAAGTCTCATTAAAGATTAAAACTGACAGGGGCATAATTCAAAGAGGTCGATTCCATGTTTTCATTCGAGGGACGAGAAATACTGCTACGCACGGCTTTAAACGCCGGCGAATAAATTATGATGGCGCCTTCAATAAAGCTGGTGTCTGACGATGGCGCACGGTCTGGCGTATCGCGTAACTGAGCTGACCGATGGCGATCTTTGATGAGCAGTGCCACTGCGGCGATGGTCAAATTATCGCAGGTATCGCGATGGTGAGGTGTAGCCTGTATATATACTGCTTTAAAATGTCGAAGCCACACCCGTCGCCAAGACAACCTCGACTAATGGCCATGCGTGCATATTCAGCCGGCAGTGCCCACCGAAGGCAGTGAATGTGTAACTCGTACGTCACGGTCCCGATCGGTAATTCAAGATTGGTAATTGATTTGCTGATTCTACTACATCGCCAATCGTGATCAACCCTATGCAGCCGGAACAGTGTGAACTTCCCAGTGACATTCACGTGATCAGCAGTAGGACTGTTATCAATTTGCAAGCCAATTACCTGCGCGCAACAGTGCGCCGACAGACGCATTTCAATCAATGCAAAGCGCCTGATGGTAGACGATTGCTTGGATTTTGATTCCGCTTTTTGTGATCAGAACGTCGGCACACTGCAGCCAACACTCGTACAGATTAAGAGCGAATTACCGACGGATGGATCGTAATGCTGAAGGCAAACGCTGTTCCTGCTGCTACAGTTGCTCTTTACCCGACATACTGTGACAAACAGCGGCGGTGGCGAA